CGGCCCCTCTGGCCATCACCAGTAGGCGGTAGGGTAAAGTGTCTTGCCCAAGGACACAATGACCAGGACAGAGAGAGCTGTCCTGGTCGTTGTCCTTCTTTTGGCAGATCATCTGCCTCCATCTCACCCCATCTCTAGCATCCTCACCACCAACCACATCCTCCTCCACATCTTGTCCACGAGAATGGACAAGACTGTTTCTAATCTTGTCCATTCTCGTCACTCTGAATGAAAATCTTAGCACCTTAGCATCTTCAGCTCTGCCTCCAGACAGGGGGTCCTGGACCTCTTGTCGTTTTGTCAGTGCTGTGATGTATGTTTGTCTCCAGACCATACATCACAGCAGATCGCACTACCATCCTGCAAGCCTTCCCATTCTGTCACAAATCACTCCCGACACTCGTCTCCACAATGCCTCTCTCATACACTGTTTTAGATGGTCAACCTTGTGTTTAACTCCTTGCAGCTTCACTGCTACCCCTGTCTCCCACTAATTCACACACATGTATTCTGTCTTCCTTCTACTGACTGATTCCTCTCCCTCCACTGCTCCAGGGTCTCTAGCTGCTCCCTACTCTGACTACAGATCACAGTGTCGTCTGCAAACATTATAGTCCCAGGAGACTCCTGCCTGACTTCATCTGTCATATTGTCCATTACGGCTCTCAGAGCTGATCCCCCATGTAATCCCACCACCACCTTGACCCCATTTCACCCTACTGCACACCTCACCACCGTCTCTCTTTCCTCATATATATTTGTTTTTAAACATATAAAACAAAAATTGGTAAAATGTAACCAGTCATATTCTATGAACTTTTAAAAAGTATAAGCAGATAACTGCATAAATTATACGTCATAAAAGTGACATGCTCAGAGTTAACTAGTTTACAAATAGTGTAGTGAACTCTGAAAAATAGTAGGTTTTCCTGGGGTGAATCATTCAGAAATCTCTGGGGCTAACTCCATTTACCTAATGTTTTATAGTTTCAACTGAAAAGTTTGTTTTTTTAAATGAATCAAAAGGCTTAGCTGTGGTTCTGTACAGCAGAATAGGAGGCAGAGTTTTCAGCTATTAGGCTTGCCTGCTTTAAGATTAGGCTTAAAACTTTCCTTTCTGATGAAGCTTATAGTTAGGACTGGATCACGTGACCCTTAATTGGCTGCTCCCTCCTGAACTTGGTTCTGCTGGAGGCCTCTTCCTGTTAAACGTTCGTTCCCACTATTGCCAAGCACTGCTTTCAAAGGGTTTGTGTGATTATTGTATTTTTTCTTTAACCTCCTAAGACCCGAACTCTTCCACAGCATGCATTTTTAATTTCTCTTTGATATTTGGGCTGATTGGGACCCGATGAATGTAAAAACAAAGAATTACCAGATTTATTTATTTTTTTACCTAATTTTGTTTCTAAGTAAAATGAGAACCACATATGAGGATATTCGTTTAAAATTTTGATAGAACAGTAGCAGTATAATGTCCTCGTAAGTGGATATCAGGCCCTTGTAGAGCAAAATTGAGTATTTTGGTCTAAATAACCCAAAATGTGATGTCCACATATGTGGACGCCAGGTCCTATGACTGGATCTTTACCTTACAGTATAAAGCTGTTGTTGTGAACTGCTGCTATATAAATAAAGTTGAATTGAACTGAATCTTGGTATTATTGAGACTTGAAAACTAATCTAATACAACATTGCTATGGAAATGGGCATGAAAGTTACATTCATTAGCCCCTGGAGGCTCTTGATCCTTTGTGTTATAAATGTTCTGCCAGAAGACGCCACATTCCCACTTGTGTTTTAAACAGAAAAAGACGAATTCCTTGTTGATGAAAAGGTTAAAGGGCGCATGGGGCTGAAGAGATGACAAGACTTGAAACTGACAGGAAGCCAGAAGAGTAGAAAAGGCCATGGTCAGGTTTTGTGTTGTGAGCAGAAACCAGCTTTAAGCAAAATAGAATAAATATATATATAAAAAACTTTATAAATATGTCCTAAGCTTTAACTTTTGACAGTTTCTCTGTAATTACAAGACCGGAGGAGATCTGTAGCTTTGTGGAGCGCCACATTCCTGAACTGAATCCTCCTACATCTTTTTTTGAGGTGGATCAGTGGACACTGAGCCTCTGTGTTGATCAGCTGGAAGCAGCTGCCTTCTCTTCTCATTAACTGGACTTCTTCCAGAGCTCATTATCTTCAGCAGGTGACACATCTGTTTTCTTAAAATCTCACAGTCCTTTAGAAAACTACGAAATGTTTTTTATTTGACTCGTTAGGGAAATATTCACAACGGTAAGTTTAAGTGAAAGAATTTATGATGAACAATGAACAAGAATTTAATGTGTGTTTATTTTTATTTTGAAAGGTGCCTGGATCTTATCCAGGTGAGTTTCAGCATGAAGTAATTTCCTCTTTGTCCATAGACAAAGAGACATCTCAGAACATTAAAATGATACAGATTTCCTTATATTATAATCACAAATAGTTAAATGAGAATATAATCATTAGAATTAAATGTTTCTAATACCTGAGTCCTAACCTCTTACTGTGATGTGTGTGTGTGTGTGCACTTCTGTGCTGTGATTTTTTTGTGCCAATGAAGTGTGTAAACATTGCAAAGCCCAGATCTTGTCCGAAGGAGAAACAGCCTTTAGTGATTTGTCAGAATAACTAAGCAAATATTCAGAGAATGTCTGACTTTAACATGTATGATTTAATAAAAGAAGTAATGAAATGATGAAATGGATAGTCGTGAGATTGAGCTGATGATAAATCCTGTTGAAGTAAAATAGCATAAACTGAATGAGACATGAAGGAAAATATATTCATGTTTTATGGAGTTCATGATAGATCATGTTAAAGTACAACATAGAAGATAAGAAAATGTGGTTTTAGTGTTGCTTTGAATCATGTATGCGCAAGGTCAGAGAGAGAGAGAGAAAGCAAAATGGGATGAGTTAAAATACGGTGATAAATGTCATAGTTGTATGATACGGTCATCAAAGTGAGGGAGGAGAGAGAGGAGTTGTTCTTCTCTTTGTCTCCTGTGAGATTAGCAGAACAGAAGATCAGATCTAAGATTTCACAGTTGGGAATTTCGGCAGAGACAGCAGAGGGATCAACTGTGGACTCACAAATTGGGTTTATATTTTTAGGCTTTTTCTCTGCTCATTTTTGATGTTTCAGATTATACATTCAAGATGATTTGATGAATATCAGATGAATATCCTGCATTAAAAACGTCTACCTTGTAAAGGTGAAAACCTGTGTATTATTACACATTATTAACATCCCTCAAAGGGTCTTACAAGTGACTCTAGCCTAAAAAATTAACAGATCCTTTGGGACCAAGTTTAGTTACCAAGTACACAGATTAGGGAAGAGCTGCTGATAACAGGTTTGACTGGCAAGCATGCCTTCAGAGGGAGCAGTTAGAGCTGGGAGAGACTCCTCCCTTTTTCCATCTAAGCTCTTGCATATATTGTATAAACTGTACTGGGGGTAGCTGGTTGAAATTCAAAAGACGGGAAAGCGAAAACGAAAGGTTAAAAAATAAGTAAATAAATAAGGACCAAATGTTACCTGACAATTAAATGTATTTGATTTAATCCAGTAAAACCTAAACCATGAAAAAATTGCCAGAATTTTTTTTTCCTTTTAACTGGAAAACTGTGTTCATTGAACTTTCTGACAATTGAAACAATTTATCAATTTTAAAGTTTATCTTAAACAAAAACATATAGTAACGTTAATGTTAAAGCAATAACACTTCTGAGGTGCCAAAAACACTTAGTGTTACAGGGTTAAAGTTAGAGTTTCTAAACTTAGTGTTTAAAATATGAAAATGTTAGATTTGGGTACCTCTCCCTCATCAGAGAAACACAGCTGAAGTTTTTTTCCTTCTGTGACACAAAACACACAATTTTCAACCAACTTTAATTTTTCATAACTGAGCTGAACATATTTCCTCTCACATGACTTTTTTTTTTAATGTGTTTAAACTGAGCCTTGACTTATTAGCTGTTCCCTTTGATGTCTATAGATCTATTAAAGCTCTACAGAAATCATTAAATGATGAATTCAGATTAGTTTTTATTGACCCTAAAATCCTTTAAAAATAGAAATGAAAAAGATTTAATCATGCCGGCAACGCAGCTTGAGACAGTTGACTGGTGACTCACTTTGGTCTCTTTGAAATGTGCTGAAAGTTTTTTTCTGTCTTCATTACTGAATGACAGTGGGCACTGAGTTGTCACAGAAACTCTGCTTTCCAGCGATAGCTGCCAGGTCTGAAGAAGCGGCCCGTGTGTTTTTCAGCTGCAGACTGATCGAGTAGCACGCTGTTAGTGGAGTCATTTTAGCAGGGCCACTCCTGGGGCTCTGATTAGAGGCACTTTGGCTCGTTCTGTACCTCCTGATTACTCTTGCTGCAGTGCCTCCACTGATTTTAGTTTAGGCGCCATCTTCCTGTGTCGTTTTCCATCTTTGTGAAGACTCACAATCAATGTTTGCAGTTACTCTGGCTGCTCTTTTCCACGTGGAGCCCCAATACAGACAGCAGCAGCTTACAACTACAAAACTGAGCCAGTTTCAATGATAGATTTTGAGACCCTGATTGTTAAAAAGGTGCTAACGCACAATTAACAGTGGCTACATTAACATTTTAGGTGCTTATATAAGCTTTAAGACCCTAAAAAATTTGATCTATGCAGCTCCTTTTTGGGCGATAAACATCAGCTAAGGTGACATTAGTCAACAGAAAATAGTGTTTTTATTCATGATTCTGGTTTGTGAGTCTAGCTAGCTGGTTAATAGTTTACTAGAAACTTAACAGATGCTATGAGCTGGGCATCATGGTTAAGTACTGAATAAATACTTTCAATATTACTTCAATAATGCAGTATTACTCTCAGTATGAATTTTTGTTAGCAAATTATAAGCCATGTCTTTCCTTCATTTTTCTTTAACATGTAGAGACCTCCAGAAGAAGCAGGCTCAGGGAGGGACAGGCATCTAATGGGTAGCAGCTGTGGGATGGATGGAGCAAAGAGGAGACAAGAGGAATAGAGAGAGACTCCAACAGCCTGAACAGACAGCTAAAGCTATAACTAAGAGAAGCGTCTGGGTCAGTGATCCAACTTTATCAGATGTTTTGAAGCCTAATCTTCAAACCAGAGAGAGCGTTCGTCTCCTCAACCCAAAACACTCACCTTGTAAAAGATGGAGATGTTGCTGTACGTTGCAAGGACGCTGGTCAGGACTCCGTTACAGAAATCTCCATTTCCAACGTAATCAGGAGGGCACGCACATGAGACATCTGCACACACAAAAATAGTTTTTTACAAACTGTGAGCTGAACATTCAATCAGCTCAGTATGTTCACCTTGAGTTAAGCATGTACATGAGCCAATGCTGTGACTCAAGGTTAACACACTCCAGCCTAGGACTCAGAATGACTGTTTTCCGCGGTTGTGCTTTATGCTTTTTACCTCATTATTCGCTGTTTTATGAATCATTGAAGATAGCATGGCTCACAGAGCAACAGCATTAAAGTCCAATGCAAAGTAAACAACACATTAAAGTGGGAGTACAGATCAGACAACAGAGGACCTGCTTCTGTCCACACACACACACAGATTCACCTCTGAGCCTGTAGCAGTAGGCGTCATACTTGCTGCTCTGGTCCATGGGTTCTTTGTACAATACGAGACCCACGTGGTTGTCTCCACACATGACCGAGGGGTAGCGGATCGGGTATCCCGCCTTCCCCCCGTCCAGCCAGCCAGCCACACACAGATGCATCCCGAGCTGTCAGGGCCAGGGAAAAAAGTCTTGAGATAAAGCTTGATTTACATTTCTGCCTTGAACTAAAACTAAACTAAAATCTCCTGAAGTGACTGGTAATATCTTAAATATCACAAGAAAACTGAAAACTCACATCCTGTGTGTGTTTTTAAGCTTGTGATTAATCTAACGTTCCTCCTGCTGTCTGGGAATCAGTTAAAGGGCACCTTGGCTTGTGGGGTAAAAATCCAGAAAGTTCCCTCCTCCACTTTACCATGATGGAAACTGTCATGAGGTCGAGTGAAAGTGTGAAGGAGGACTTGGACTTGTTGCTGGCATGAGTGTGCTGCATTAAAACTACAACATCCTGAAGATGAACTACAAAAGGCACATCTTAACACCCCATGTGTCCATACCATGTTATTTCACACAAATGGTAAAAAAAAAATGTATCTTTTCAAAGCTGAAATTAGAAAGAAAAAGGCAAAGGCAGCTTATAAAATGAAATGATACGATGTCACTGTCAGGAAATGTGGGAGCAAAGATCCAAATGCAGAAGTCCAAGACTCCAGCTTAGCAATATTCAGAACAGCAGTTAATAATACCACAAAACCCACAGACAGTCACTCTGGCTTTAGCTGACATGTCAAATTGTCAGCTCGTATTTTCTCTTCCTGCTAGAGAGATGATCAATGTAACTCCAGCGTTTGTTAATGTTTTCTGTGACTGATGCCAAGTTATTAATAATCCTAAAGGCTGGAAACACAGCAATGCTTACAATCAACACACAACTAATGCAAGGTTGAAGTATACTGAACCTTTAATTCAGTTTTATCTTTATTTATTCTTAACATTTAAATAAATCACACAAAGCAGCAACTTCATAAGTTGCATAAGGTCCCACAAAGGTACAAAGTTTATTTTTCTTAGTGTGTCACTTTGAACTGTGCAGGATCATTATCTTCTTCCCGTTTAAACCATCTTTCCTGAATATCTGAAGAATTCAACAACTACCATTATGGCAGATACTTCCTGGTCACTTCACTCAGTTAGGGGCCTTTTAAAATAAAACAGATTATCTGACCACAGCCATGGACAACATCTGCCATCTGATAACGTCTCACAGTTACCATGCACTGCTCACAGTTCAGGTTCTAATACAGCTGAAGTGAAGAAGCTTTTCTATTGGCCGTGCAGGTGATTTTTAGTGTGTCATTTAGTGTTAAAAAACTGTAGTACCTGCAGAGCTCCTGAAAAATGTGGCATGCTACTCAATGAGTTTGAGAGCGCCGAAAAGGACGTGACATTTTTGTTTTCAAGTACTCTTTCACTAACAAAGGTTTGAGTTTGCTGCTTTGCTGCTTTTCTTGAAAACTGTTGAATGCTTCCCCGTCAGCCTAACTGACCGTGAAGGGGGTGTGTCTTTATAATGAAGACAGAATCTGTAGAAAAACCCTGCTGGTGCAGGTTCACAAACTTTTATTTCATTTTCCTTTTTTTTCATAGGTATACCACATATTTGACTCAGGTGTATCGACCTGTTGATATCTTTATGTAAACCCTTTCAGTAGGTAGGTTTACCTGCTGTGCGTCTCCCATCTGTTTAACGGTAGCCAACGTGGCGCCCTCAGCCTTGCACTCGGCGTCGGCCTGACTGAAGTTCATCTGGTACCTCCCCTTTGGAGAGCGCAGGTGGAAGACTCCGGCTCTGTTTTCTGAAGCACGACAATCACGTTAACTTCCCTCAGATTTCTGCACCATTCTGTACAACAAATATGAACTCTACGAGTAAAAAACACGATTTGATCCGACGCTGAACAAATCCAAGAGACATTCAACCCCAGATTCAGTAGAAACATCTGCTTTTCTTTTAATATGATGTAATTACTTGGTGTTTAAGTTCTGATGAGTAAAGCACGAATCAATTAAATGTTACATAACCTCGGGGACTTTTTTTTTTTTCTACAAAAAACTTGTTTATGTTCCTGTGACAAGAAGTTCAAATGACAGAAATAGCTCATCAACACCTTTACTGCCACTGTGCAAACAGAGTAAAATCTCACTTCACAAGCTTAAACAAATGGTGTCCAGTGTGTGTATTATCTTTTGGACTGCTTAGTCTTTTTCACAAAGTGAACGATACAACAGCTCTAATAACTTCAGCTCCTTGTACCAACAATGATTTCTGCTGTTTCATGACCTGCAGTGCTTTTTTGCTGGCTTCCGTGCAGTTACAGGTGCTTGTGATTGATTTTTTTTGTTCGTGGGAACTGTGACATGAACATAGCCTTGTAACAACTTACAGAGAATGACTACAATGCCGCCATGTTCTGAGTGCCTGATTAGGAGCTGTGTGACGAGCCGAACCAACAAATGTATTGTACTCCAGCAGGTTTGACGTCATTTTTAGTATGAACTGTGTTTCACAAGCATGGCAATGGCTATCATTCTGAACTCAGTGCAGCAAGATTTCAAAGTCAGCAACATCCCCCTCATCTGGACTGTAATGTTTTCTTTTGTTTTTCAAATTTGCAATCTATGGATGTGGACAGTGGGGAAAAAAATAGATTTTTCAAGGTTTGAGGATTTTTGTTTAGAAAATAGGTCATGATTTCTGGAAAGAGACATGAGGGCAGATTTCTCTACAGCTTATTTCACTACAGACCTGAAAAAATGCATACATTTGATTTTTGGAAGAAAATCCTTCTCTCTGGTTGAGTGGCAGGTGCTTATATCCCACAAACTTCATTAAAAGGGTAACTCTGAACAGATCATTTATGGTGAATTCCTAATTATCTGTATACCCTGATTAATGAAGATCAGGTTGGAAGTAATAACAGCCTTTGAGCCTTTAATGAGCTCCATGTTTAACAAGCCTTAACGAGCTCCAGATCCTAATGAGCTCAACTCAGAGCTGACATTTGTTTACCAGCCCCAGAAAAACAAATAAATAAACAAATGGAAGTCCTCTATAATAAACAATGCTAGCCATAATGTCACCACGGAAACATAGATGCTACAAAGGTCATCTGCTTTAGAATCAGTCTGATTACCATGGAAACTGCAATAGAGTAGGACTGGGAGCCAACATGGCTCCCACTCAGCAGATGTGACACGTGGCTACACTGCAGTTCATGGCTTCACTGCATTCACATGTCTTACCGTGGTAATGCAGGTCCTTGCAGATCGCCACAGGGTCACAGCCTCCATTGTCTTCCAAGCAGCGGTCAACAGGGGGCACCATCTTCTCCAAACACTGGACTCCATTACCTACATACCCCGGCAAGCACTCGCACTCCCGTTCATTCTAGAAGAACCAGATTAGAGTGATCAGCTTACAGGAGGATGTCATGTTATGTTCATATTCAGGGATATTTTTAGAGGGAGACACGTCACTCAAAAAACCATTAATAACAGTAATGGCAAAGATGCTGCTTGTCCCGCCCCAGCTCCAAAAAACCAGTCAGCAGCTTGGGAACAACTGGGAAACCAAACATGATTTTGTGCAACAGTTTCGAACTATGTGTTGGTGAACTTATAGTTCTACTCATGATTGCAATAAAGATGAAGACTGTGTATTCTATAATTTACTGTATCCATAATGTGAAATAGCATGGGATTGGATTGTGCAGTCACTTTGGATTTAACCGTGAGCAAAGCTATAAAGTTGTGTAATTTTGTGTATGTGCAGTAAAATAATAACATTTGAGGCTTTGAGGTGAGATGCATTTCTGTAACTGCTTTTGGGGAAATTTATTGAAATCATATTTGTACTTTATTCAGAGACACATAATCAAACACTTATCAAATCCCATAACCATTAATTTTTATAACACTTTTATCTGACAGAGTCCCAGGTACCACCCAGAAGCTGCTCTTAAATGCACTTAAAATGACTTTGATTTCAGTGTTCCATGTTTTAAAATCCGATAGCATCTCTTGACTGAAAAATGAATTCATGCATCCATGTTTTTATCAAAGCTGGACAACATTGGGGCATGCTCCTAATGAGGAAATGGATGGTGTGCTGGGGTATCTCCTCCTCTGGACCAGGGCATCACTGAGCTCCTGAAGAGTGTGAGGTGTGGGATGGATTTAACAAATTTTCCCAGGTGTTGTACTGGATTAGTTGTGCTATTTAGGTCAGGTGAGCTTGGGGGGCAATTAATGGTATCAATTTCTTCATCCTCCATGAACTGCCTGTATACTCCTGCCACATGAGGCCAGGCATTGTTGTGTACCTAAGGAGCCCAGGAATCACTCCACCATCGTAGGGTCTGACAATGAGTCCAAGGATTGCATCTCAATATCTAATGGCAGTCAGGGTGCTGTTGCCTGGCTGTCATAGGTCTATGCCTCTCTATTACTGACCCACCACCAAACCAGTCATGGTAGCAAACAAGATGGATGAGCTAACAGTGATAGCTTGGAGTCAAAGGGAACCTTTGACTCCAAGGTCCATGATTCAACTTAATTGAATCATGGATGCACCAGGATATTCCCGATGAGAACACATCTGTGGAAGGGTTCCACACCGTTCAGGCCGACAGACAGAGGTAAGCAGAAAGGAGGGGGGTTTGCCATTTTCTTTAACAACCGGTGGTGTACTTGCTTACCTACAATCAAAGAGTGGATTTATTGCCCAGACACTGAACTTTATGCTGTTGGACTCAGGTCATATTATTTGCCCAGGGAATCTATCCATGTGAGCTTGTTGGCAGTCCATGTTCCTCCCCCTGCTAACCCCACAGCTCCATGTGCCTTCATTGCTATCTCGGGTGACTTCAACATGTCACCTTAGACGCTACATTGTCAACTTTCACACAGTATGTGGTCTGTCCCACCTGAGGGGAGAGAATTTTAGACCTACTGTTTATAATCAAGCACACATAAGCCCGTTTCATCAGTAGCTTCTCAGATCGACTCTGTATGGTTCACCACGGTTTTCATGATTTTCCATTAGGTCATAGTACCTGGTAAGTGTTGGAATTGATATTTTTTATATTGTCATTTGTGCTTAGGAACATATAATCATTTGTATGCTGATAAAAAGCATATCCTTATTAGGTCTGATAAGATTCTGTGTGCACTTGTGTACCATGAGATGAGAGGAAGCAGCCTCGGCGTTATAATTTCCATTATAGCTTTAGGAACTAGATTGTTGTGTTTCTTAAAAGTGCAAAACTTCACACTTTTAAATGTTCGTCTGAGACATGACCTATTGCAAGTTCCTGTTCTTATCATTTAGCAAGACACTACTTCTGCTTTTCTGCATGCCTCATACATACAGTTTTAGTTCATTGAAAGGTCGTATGTCTATGTATAGTATAGCTGTAAACACACACACACAGAATACAGGGAGTGCAGAATTATTAGGCAAGTTGTATTTTTGAGGAATAATTTTATTATTGAACAACAACCATGTTCTGAACGAACCCAAAAAACTCATTAATATCAAAGCTGAATGTTTTTGGAAGTAGTTTTTAGTTTGTTTTTAGTTTTAGCTATTTTAGGGGGATATCTGTGTGTGCAGGTGACTATTACTGTGCAGAATTATTAGGCAACTTAACAAAAAACAAATATATACCCATTTCAATTATTTATTTTTACCAGTGAAACCAATATAACATCTCCACATTCACAAATATACATTTCTGACATTCAAAAACAAAACAAAAACAAATCAGCGACCAATATAGCCACCTTTCTTTGCAAGGACACTCAAAAGCCTGCCATCCATGGATTCTGTCAGTGTTTTGATCTGTTCACCATCAACATTGCGTGCAGCAGCAACCACAGCCTCCCAGACACTGTTCAGAGAGGTGTACTGTTTTCCCTCCTTGTAAATCTCACATTTGATGATGGACCACAGGTTCTCAATGGGGTTCAGATCAGGTGAACAAGGAGGCCATGTCATTAGTTTTTCTTCTTTTATACCCTTTCTTGCCAGCCACGCTGTGGAGTACTTGGACGCGTGTGATGGAGCATTGTCCTGCATGAAAATCATGTTTTTCTTGAAGGATGCAGACTTCTTCCTGTACCACTGCTTGAAGAAGGTGTCTTCCAGAAACTGGCAGTAGGACTGGGAGTTGAGCTTGACTCCATCCTCAACCCGAAAAGGCCCCACAAGCTCATCTTTGATGATACCAGCCCAAACCAGTACTCCACCTCCACCTTGCTGGCGTCTGAGTCGGACTGGAGCTCTCTGCCCTTTACCAATCCAGCCACGGGCCCATCCATCTGGCCCATCAAGACTCACTCTCATTTCATCAGTCCATAAAACCTTAGAAAAACCAGTCTTGAGATATTTCTTGGCCCAGTCTTGACGTTTCAGCTTGTGTGTCTTGTTCAGTGGTGGTCGTCTTTCAGCCTTTCTTACCTTGGCCATGTCTCTGAGTATTGCACACCTTGTGCTTTTGGGCACTCCAGTGATGTTGCAGCTCTGAAATATGGCCAAACTGGTGGCAAGTGGCATCTTGGCAGCTGCACGCTTGACTTTTCTCAGTTCATGGGCAGTTATTTTGCGCCTTGGTTTTTCCACACGCTTCTTGCGACCCTGTTGACTATTTTGAATGAAACGCTTGATTGTTTGATGATCACGCTTCAGAAGCTTTGCAATTTTGAGACTGCTGCATCCCTCTGCAAGATATCTCACTATTTTTGACTTTTCTGAGCCTGTCAAGTCCTTCTTTTGACCCATTTTGCCAAAGGAAAGGACGTTGCCTAATAATTATGCACACCTGATATAGGGTGTTGATGTCATTAGACCACACCCCTTCTCATTACAGAGATGCACATGACCTAATATGCTTAATTGGTAGTAGGCTTTCGAGCCTATACAGCTTGGAGTAAGACAACATGCATGAAGAGGATGATGTGGACAAAATACTCATTTGCCTAATAATTCTGCACTCCCTGTACAGACACTGATGTTGTTCAGATATGCCTGCTTAAGAATGTCACATGTATTTGTAATTGCATATTCATGAATGATTGCTTGCTGACAATAAAAAGGGCTGTAGTGAAGGAATCAGTTGAAGTTGGCTAAAGGACAGGTGAAGGGAGCATTACTTGGCCTTGACTGACTTCCCTTGCAAGACAAAAAGACAAAAGAGCTCTGTCTTGTCTTGATTTGTCGTGCAGTTTGGGCTTGTGTTCCAGTGAGGTTTGTGCCTAGATAAACCCAACACTAAGATGTACTTTTTTAGTACCTACTTTCTCGAGGTTCCAAGCAATCCGATGTGGCATCGTCAGACTGCATATCACCAATTGGCTGGTCAGTAGTGTCATGCGATGAGCCATGAGAGCGTCTTGTTCACAAAAATTAAAACCGCTATTTTTGAAACATGTCAATGACGGAAATGGCTACAAAAATAATGCCATGGTGCTCAAGTCTGGTGAAAAGCCACAGTCCGAGCAGCAGGTATATTCTTGTCCAGACACCCACCTTTTTTGTAACGTTCAGGTTAATTACTTCACGGGACACTTGGACACACTGCTATGACAACAACCATGCAGGCTAGGTAGTACTGGATTTGAATGGAAAACCAGTTGATCCGAGTCGAGTTGTAGCGAGTTGATCTGAGTAGGTATTCATGGAAAAAGGGCTATCCAGTTCCTCCTCCCTCCCCCGATTGGGTAGGTCAGATCATAACCTGATTCATGTTTTGAGATTCACAGACTGGGAGACACTGTGAGCCTCGTGGTCAGGACCTCAATGGGCTTACTGAGTGTATCACTGACTACATAACCTTCTGCACCAACTCCATTGTCTCAGCTAAGACTATCCATTGTACAAACTGAACATTCCATCCATTCTCATGGGTAACGTAAGATCTTTACCCAACAAGATGGAAGCGCTAATGGCGCTAACCAGACTGCAGTGGGAGTACCAGGAGAGCAGCCTCCTGCTGTTCACTGAGACATGGCTCACAGACCACACACTGGACCCCGTCGTAACTCTGGATGGCTTTCAACTGGTTAGAGCGGAGTGGAGCGCAGTGGAGAGTGGTAAGAGGGGAGGTGGGGGACTAGCAATGAAGATCAATGAGAGATGATGTAACCCGGGACACATCACTGTGAAGGAACAGCCCTGTACCAAAGAATCAGAATACTTTATTGATCCCTAGCGGAAATTATTTCCTGTTAGCGGTTAGCGTTCGGCCATACCACCCGGCCAGGGATTTTTCACGTTATTGTGCTGACTGTTTACATTCCGCACTCGATATGACCAGGACAGAGAGGCCGGGGATTGAACCGGCGACCTTCCGGTTACAGATACGCTTCCCAACCCCCTGAGCCACGGTC